CACGGTCATTAATTTTACTTTCAAAATTTCCCCAAATCCTCGGAATTGCCAAGGGGATGGTGCGTGATTTCCTGGGTAACCCCCCCACCCATCTCTCTTCCTTCCCACTCCCCCCACCACGTTGCCCTCCCCCCTCTCCCCTCCTAAGCCCTCCTTCTGTTTACAGCCATGCTGAGCCATCGGTGGGAAATTCCACATTCCTTTAGCGTGGACGGGTCTATCTATAGCAGCGGTCGGGAACCTGTGGCTCGCGAGCCATATATGGCTCTTCCGGTGACGGCATATGGCTCCCAGACAATTTTGAGTTGAAAAAAAAATAATAACAAAAATCAGTTTGGAACTGATTTTAAAATACTTGTGATATTGCTTAATAATAGTGTGTCATTTTAAAGTAAACAGAAGTTAGTTTTGAAGATAAATGTCATGGGTCACGGGTCCCGTGACCAGAAGTCGCATTAAAAGTAAGACATATTTAATTTATTATACGTTAAAATACTATATGGCTCTCAATGAAAGATATTTAGAAATATTTGGCTTTTATGGCTCTCCCAGTCAAAAAGGTTCCCGACCCCTGATCTATAGGATAACTACTCGGGAGAGGCGGTGGGGGGTCATGTATCACTCGCCACTGACATTAGCTCTGGCCAGGAATCGAACTGAGGATGTAGCATTGTTATAGCAAGATGTATGATGATCTTTTGGAATGTGCGTGTTCTCTCTCTCGCTCTCTCTCTCTCTCTGTGGTCACGTGGTTTTAATTCGGGGCCTGCTCACTCACACACCCACTCACCCACCCACCCACTCACCACCAAGTCATCCACTCACCCACTCACACACTCACCACCCACACACCCACCCACTCATCCACACACCCACCCACTCATCCACACACCCACTCAACCACTTATCCACTCACCCACCCACACACTACCCACTCACACACTCACCCACTCATCCACACACCCACCCACTCATCCACACACCCACCCACCCACTCAACCACTTATCCACTCACCCACCCACACACTACCCACTCACACACTCACCCACTCACCCATCCGCTCACCCACTCACCCATCCGCTCACCCACTCACTCACCCACCCACCAACTCACCCATCCACTCACCCACCCACCCACTCACCCACCCATCCAATCACCCACCCACCCATTACACACTCACACACTCACCCACTCACCCACTCACTCACCCACCTATCCACTCACCCATCCACTCAGCCACCCACTCACTCACTCACACACTCATCCACTCACCCACCCACCCACTACCCACTCACACACTCACCCACTCACTCACCCACCCACTCACCCATCCACTCACCCACCCATTCACTCACCCACCCAGTCACCCACCCACTAACCCATTCACCCACACACCCACCCATCCACTCACCCAACCACCCACACACTCATCTACCCACTCACCCACACACTCACCCACCCACTACCCACTCACACTCACCTTCTCACCCACTCACTCACCCACCCACCCACTCACCCACCCATCCACTCACCCACTCACACACTCACCCACTCACCCACCCACTCACCCACCCACCCACTCACTCACGAACCCACTCACCCATCCACTCACCCACCCACCCATCCACTCACCCACTCACTCACCCACCCACCCACTCACCCACCAATCCACTCACCCACTAACACACTCACCCACCCACTCACTCACGAACCCACTCACCCACCAATCCACTCACCCACTCACTCACTCACCCATCCACCCACTCACCCATTCCTCTCTCTGCTTATTCCCATGCACTGCTCCACTTGAGCAATTCCCGTCTCGTCTCTCTTTCCCTCTCCCCTGCCCCGGCAAAAAAATAACTCGTTCAACTCAAGACGCGAGTGCTGTTTGTTGCTGGTCTCTTGGCACAGTGGGCTGGTGGGGTTCGGGGGAGGAGGGGTGCACTTTGCAGCCGTGAGAAAGACTCCAGATCAACAAATCAAAAAGAATCCGAGCTCAACCACCACCAACCCCCCAAGCCCATAGAGAGACAAACGCAGGAAATGACCCATTTCCCCACAACAAATATGACGACAAATGAATCTTTAGACGCCAGGAAGATGAGAGAGAGAGACACGCAAAGTCCAAATCTACAGCAGCAGACGTAGTCAGGGTCGGGATCGAACCCGCGACCTCTTGTACACCAGGCGAGGTAGTTAACATATCCTAGCCACCGTGATGATGATGAGAGAGAGAGACACGCAAAGTCCAAATATACAGCAGCAAACGTAGTCAGGGTCGGGATCGAACCCGCGACCTCCTGTACACCAGGCGAGGTAGTTAACATCTCCTAGCCACCGTGATGATGATGAGAGAGAGAGACACGCAAAGTCCAAATATACAGCAGCAGACGTAGTCAGGGTCGGGATCGAACCCGCGACCTCTTGTACACCAGGCGAGGTAGTTAACATCTCCTAGCCACCGTGATGATGATGAGAGAGAGAGACACGCAAAGTCCAAATATACAGCAGCAGACGTAGTCAGGGTCGGGATCGAACCCGCGACCTCTTGTACACCAGGCGAGGTAGTTAACATGTAGTGTATAGTGGTGTAGTGTATAGTGGTGTAGTGTATAGTGGTGTAGTGTATACTGGTGTAGTGTATAGTGGTACGAGTAGTACGTGTATACGCTTTGTCTGCCGAGCGTCACGTGATCACAACTGATATACGAGTGCTTTGGATTATAAGCACGTTTCAGGAATGAATTATGCTCGCAATCTAAGTCTTAACTGTAATCATATAATAAAAACAAGCTTGAGCCTTCCCGCCCACCACAATTAGACACCGATTATCACGTGCCAAGTCTGCATGAAGCACACGTGCCGAGCAGTAAAACCATTCGAACACACGCAAACTGCTTGAATTCATCTTCGTGGTTCTTTCGGCAAAGTCACGTAGAATGGAAATAATAAAATAATAAAAATAAAACATAATAAAATTATTTTAAAGCTTTCGTGACTGCAGGGATTCATCTTCGTGGTTCTTTCGGTAAAGTCACGTAGAAGGGAAATAATAAAATAACAAATATAAAACATAATAAAATAATTCTCACGACGTTTCGGCCACAACGCAAGCAGCCGTCCGCAGGTAGGAGAACAGGTCTGTCGAGAAGACATACCTGTTTATTATTTTATTATTTCCAATCTACGTGACTTTACCGAAAGAACCAAGAAGATGTCCGTTTGCTCTTTGAGGATTATGGGTTGAGGGTGGGGGGGGGGGTGATTGCTTGTGCTGAGTCTACCCCCCGGGTGAGCGGGTGACTAAAGGAGGAGATTGGGGGTGACTATTCACCCGCTCACCAACTCACTTTTGGCGACAAACCCCGGCCGCATGGGTTCGATTCCGGGACGCAGGGGTGAAGCATCGTCGGTGCCTCCTATTCAGGCCACGCGCTTTAAATGAGTGGTGTGTAATAAGTCAGCGCTTGGGGAGACAAAGGCGGCCGGGTGTGCAGTTCACCACACTGACGTCGCCCCAAATTAGCGCGCCGTGGCGGGCCTTAATAGGTGCTCGCTAACAGCACTTGCTTCAACAGTCTGTATAATGGATTTTATGTTGTGTGCGCGTGCGTACGTGTGTGTGTCTGTCTGTGTTTGTCTGTGTGTGTGTGGGTGTGTGTGTGTGGGTGTGTGTGTGTGGGTGTGTGTGTGTCTGTGTGTGTGTCTGTGTGTGTGGGTGTGTGTGTGTCTGTGTGTGTGTCTGTGTGTGTGGGTGTGTGTCTGTGTGTGGGTGTGTGTCTGTGTGTGTCTGTGTGCGTGGGTGTGTGTCTGTGTGTGTGTCTGTGTGTGTGTCTGGGGGAGCGGTGGTGTAGTGGTTAGCGCACTGCGCTATGAACCCAGCGACACGGGTTCGATTCCCGCTCACGGCCAACACCAGTGACGATTATCTGAACCGGTCCCGGGCCTCCCCTAGGTCGACTCAGCCTCAAATGAGTACCTGGTGCGGTGTGTAAACATTGCCACTTGGGAGACAAAGGCGGTCGGGCGTGGTGCTGGCCACCCACCCCCTCGTGTACCGTTCCACGGCCTTCATAGGTGCTTGCTAACAGCACTTGCCCCTACAGTCTGTTAAGGCTACAAGGGGGATCTTTGTCTGTGTGTGTGGGTGTGTGTGGGTGTGTGTGGGTGTGTGTGGGTGTGTGGGTGTGTGTGTGGGTGTGTGTGTGGGTGTGTGTGTGGGTGTGTGTGTGGGTGTGTGTGTGGGTGTGTGTGTGGGTGTGTGTGTGGGTGTGTGTGTGGGTGTGTGTGTGTGGGTGTGTGTGTGTGGGTGTGTGTGTGGGTGTGTGTGTGGGTGTGTGTGTGTGGGTGTGTGTGTGGGTGTGTGTGTGGGTGTGTGTCTGTGTGTGTCTGTGTGTGTCTGTGTGTGTCTGTGTGTGTCTGTGTGTGTCTGTGTGTGTCTGTGTCTGTCTGTGTGTGTCTGTGTCTGTCTGTGTGTGTCTGTGTGTGTCTGTGTGTGTCTGTGTGTGTCTGTGTCTGTCTGTGTCTGTCTGTGTCTGTCTGTGTCTGTCTGTGTCTGTGTGTCTGTCTGTCTGTCTGTGTCTGTCTGTGTCTGTGTGTGTGTCTGTGTGTGTGTGACTGTGTGTGTGTGTCTGTGTGTGTGTGTCTGTGTGTGTGTGTGTGTCTGTGTGTGTGTGTGTCGTTAGTGTAGCGGTTAGCGCGCTGCGCTACGAACCTGACGACCGGGGTTCGATTCCCGCTCACGGCCAACACCGGTGACCATTATCCAAACCGGTTTCTGGGCCTCCCCTAGGTCGACTCAGCCTCAAACGAGGGCATGGTGCGGTGTGTAGTAATCATCGCCACTGGGGAGACAAAGGCGGCCGGGCGTGGTGCTGGCCACCCACCCCCTCGTGTGCCGTGCCGGCCTTCATAGCTGCTACTCACTAACAGCACTTGCCCCGACAGTCTGCTAAGGCTACACGGGGGACCTTTGTCTTTGTGTGTGTGTCCACAGAAGTTGCTCACGGAGTTGCTGTACTGCCTCAAGTACAGCACACTCGGAGGTTCCCAGGAGAACTTGAGCGAGGAGATACTCATCTACCTGGAACAGGTGACACTCACAAAGACCTCCTCCACAGCTCATTATCATCATCCTCAAACGTGAGCCTTATACTCTTTGGTTGTTTCGGTAAAGTCACGTTGGAAAAAAGAAAAATTGAATGAAAACAACTGAAATAAATTTCGATTTAAAGCTTTCGTGACTGCAGGGATTCATCTTCTTGGTTCTTTCGGTAAAGTCACGTAGAAGGGAAGTAATAAAATAATAAAAAATAAAACATAATAAAATACAATTCTCACGACGTTTCGGCCACAACGCAAGCAGCCGTCCTCAGGTGAAGACCAGGTCTGTCGGAAAGACAGCGTCTGAATGAGCACCACCATGCTTGGCAGCACATCGTGAGAATTGTATTTTATTGTTTTATTTTTATTATTTTATTATTTTCCTTCTACGTGACTTTACCGAAAGAACCAAGAAAACTGAAATAAAATTAAATCAAATCACGACGTTTCAACAATAGCTTGTCCTCACCTGATGAAGGATGCTTGTGTTGTGCCTGAAACGTCGTGATTTAATTTAATTTTAGTTTTGAATTAAAGCTTTCGTGACTGCAGGGATTCATATTCTTGGTTCTTTCGGTAAAAGTCACGTAGAAGGGAAATAATAAAATAATAAATATATAAAACAATAAAATTCTCACGACGTTTCGACTGCAACACAAGCAATCATCGTCAGGTGTAAAATCCACAGCAAGAAAATTTGAAACAAGTGGCGTTTTCTTCTTAACTTAACTTTTTACAAATTATCTTGCTGTGGATTTCACACTTGATGATGATTGCTTGTGTTGCAGTCGAAACGTCGTGAGAATTTTAATTGTTTCATATTCATATCATTTTATTATTTCCCTTCTACGTGACTTTACCGAAAGAACCAAGAATATGAATTCCAGTTGTTTTCATTCTAATAAAATTTTATTTATTTAAAAAAATTTCACCCACGTAACTTTACCGAAAAAAAAACAGGGTATGAATCCTCGCAGTCACGAAAACTTCCAATCTAGAACAAAATAAATAAGTGTACTGCAACAACAACAACAACAACGCGAATGCAGAACGTGTTGGGGTGGGTGTGGAGGGGGTGGAATATTTCGATTTAAAGCTTTCGTGACTGCAGGGATTCATCTTCTTGGTTTTTTCGGTAAAGTCACGTAGAATGAAACTAATAAAATAATAAAAATAAAACATAATTATTTCATCATGTTTTATTTTTATTATTTTATTACTTCCCTTCTACGTGACTTTACCGAAAAAACCAAGAAGAAGGGGTAGAATATGTTTCTTATCGTGAGCCAGGCTCCCTCCACTGCTTAGTGAAGTCCTCTTGCAAAGCCGTAGGCGCTGTTGACGGCACGTGGCGTGTGAGTGATCCATGCCTCGCTGAGTCTTTGCCGGGAAGTCGGGGATTATTTGGAGCCCCATTGACATCCAGTGATGATTTATTTAGGGCCGTCCATAAATGACGTCACGCGATTTTGGACGATTTTTGACCCCCCCCCCCCCCCCCCCCCCCCTTCGTCACACGGCATCACGAAAAGTCAACCCCCCCCCCCCGTGTAAAATATGACGTCACAAAGCTCTGCCCCCCCCCCCAAAAAATCTATTAAATATGCTTAAAATCGCTTTAAACTATTGTAGTGCGTATTTAATGTGGCGCTGCACTCTGATGTTGTAGGAGAAAACATTTATGAAAAAGTCAATTCAGACGCTGTCTCCCCGACAGACCTGTTCACACCTGAGGACGGCTGCTTGCGTTGTGGCCGAAACGTCGTGAGAATTGTATTTTATTATGTTTTATTTTTATTATTTTATTATTTCCCTTCTACGTGACTTTACCGAAAGAACCAAGAAGATAGAACGTATATTTACACCATTGGAACCTCATTTGTCAGTTAAAAAATATGACAATTGTTTTTTTACCCTTCTATCTGGCAACAAAACTGACACCTTTTTTACAAGGAGTCATGTTTGCATAGACTACACTACCTGCAGCCATAATGCAAACAAAAAACATAACGCTGATAATATATATTATATAGTGCATATATTATCAGAGTTATGTTTTTTGTTTGCATTATGACTGCAGGTATTGTGGTCTATGCAAACATGACTCCTCGTAAAAAAAGGCGTCAGTTTTGTTGCCAGATAGAAGGGTAAAAAAACATTATCAAGATAGAACGTGTTGTCTATATTTATTTAAAGTTACCCATTTTGATGTGACGTCACGCTTCTCACCCCCCCCCCCCTCGTCACACATCGTCCCAAACGTCTGACCCCCCCCCCCCACCCTTTAGGTGCGTGACGTCATTTATGGACGGCCCCTTTTTTGGGATTGGGGGTAGGTGGGGCTACGAGTCAGAGGCAACTAGAAAAGCCAAAGCAAACCCAGGAGGCGGGGGTGGGGAGAGGGGCAAGGGGTGACACTCAAATCTCCGCACGGATGGATTCAATAATCTATTGCTATCGCTGCGAGTCGGGGTTCACGTATTTGTAATTGTACCACTTACAGTCCCAGAAAATAATAAGTATAACCCGTAAAAACAAAGTTTTTCACTATAAATCCTTTATATGCGTGGCGGCTAGAGTCCTCTCTTCCTCTGGCTTGAGATGTAAATAATTTTGTTTTGCCTAATAAGTGTCAAATTTTGGGAATTTTTTTTCACGAACATTAATTGTCACGCACAACGAGTCTGTGTGCAAAATGTCAGCTCGATTGGATCACGGGAAGTGGGTTAAAAAACGACCGAAAGATTTGCACGGTCGTAAGCAAGCAAGCAAGCACGCAAGCACGCAAGCAAGCGAACTTAATATAAAGGATTTAACAAGTAAACCCGTAAAAACAAAGTTTTTCACTCTAAATCCTTTATATGCGTGGCGGCTAGAGTCCTCTCGTCCTCTGGCTTGAGATGGCTGCTACCTATGGGTCAGATGATTGTCTGCCAGTATTAAGCAATTGGTAATTAAATATTTAATTTGTTTTCCCTAAACGGTGTAACATTTTGGAAAAAAAAAATTCACGAACATTAATTGTCTCGCACAACGAGTCTGTGTGCAAAATATCAGCTCGATAGGATCACGGGAAGTGTGTTAAAAAACGACCGAAAGATTTGCACGGTCGTAAGCACGCAAGCAAGCACGCAATCACGCAAGCAAGCAAGCGAACTTAATATAAAGGATTTAAAAGTAAAACACGCACAGTCAGCGAATTCCACCTCCTGCATTAACATTCGCAACCCAGGGCAACGATGACCTGTCGTTTTGCTCCACGTACTTTGTTATGTAGGGTGTGTGTGTGTGCGCGTGTGTGTGTCTGTGCGTGTGTGTAAGTGCGCGTGTGTGTGCGCGTGTGTGTGTGTCTGGGTGTGTGGGTGTGTGGGTATGTGTGTGTGCGCGTGTGTGTGTATGTGCGTGTGTGTGTGCGTGTGTGTGTGCGTGTGTGTGTGTGTGCGTGTGTGTGTGCTCGTATCTGTGTGTGTGTGTGTGCGTGTCTGTGCGTGTGTGTGCGCGTGTGTGTGTGTGTCTCTGTGCGTGTGTGCGTGTGTGGGTGTGTGTGTGGGTGTGTGTGTGTGCGCGTGTCTGTGTGTGTGTGCGCGTGTGTGTGTCTGCGCGTGCGTGTGTGTGTGTCTTTGTGCGTGTGTGTGTGGGTGTGTGTGTATGCGCGTGTGTGTGTGGGTGTGTGTGTGTGCGCGTGTGTGTGTCTGCGCGTGCGTGTGTGTGTGCGTGTGTCTTTGTGTGTGTGTGCGTGTGTCTATCTGTGTGTGTGCGTGTGTCTGTGTGTGTGTGTGCGTGTGTATGTGCGTGTGTGTGCGTGTGTCTATGTGTGTGTGTGTCTGTGTGTGTGTGTGCGTGTGTCTATGTGTGTGTGTGCGCGTGCGTGTGTGTGTGTGCGTGTGTATGTGCGTGTGTGTGCGTGTGTCTATGTGTGTGTGCGCGTGCGTGTGTGTGTGCGTGTGTCTATGTGTGTGTGTGTCTGTGTGTGTGTGTGCGTGTGTCTGTGTGTGTGTGTGCGCGTGCGTGTGTGTGTGTGCGTGTGTGACAAAGGCGGTCGGGCGTGGTGCTGGCCACCCACCCCCTCGTGTACCGTTCCGGCCTTCATAGGTGCTCGCTAACAGCACTTGCCCCTACAGTCTGTTAAGGCTATATGGGGGATCTTTGTCTTTGTGTGTGTGGAGCCGGTAGTGTAGTGGTTAGCACGCTGTGCTACGAACCCGGCAACCCGGGTTCGATTCCCGCTCACGGCCAACACCGGTGACGATTTATCCGAATCTGTCGTGTGCCTACGCTAGGTCGACTCAGCTTCAAATGAGCACATAATGCGGTGTGTAGTAAACATCGCCACTGGGGAGACAAAGGCGGCCGGGCCATGGTGCTGGCCAACCACCCCCTCGTGTGTGCCGTGCCGGCCTTCATAGGTGCTGCTCGCTAACAGCACTTGCCGCAACAGTCTGCTAGAGGCTACACGGGGGACCTTTGTCTTTGTGAGCGAGTGATGCGGTCAGCATCCAAGCAGCAGCAGCAGCAGCATGGGCATCATCGCTGAGAAAACTTTGCAAGACACCCTCCCGATAAAATCAACGAGGGGTCATGGTGGTTAATTTTTTCCTGGGTAATCAAGGCAAGTTGGGATACTTTGGACCCTTCTAAGTAAACGGATACTACTAATAAGAAGAAGAATGAACTAGTTATCTAGATTTAAAGCTTTCGTGACTGCAGGGATTCATCTTCTTGGTTCTTTCGGTAAAGTCACCATGTAGGTAAAAAATTTAAATGATACTGCAAATCTGGCTGTGACGGTCCCACCTGATGACGGAGACTTGTGTTGCCTCCGAAACGTCGTTATTTTTATTATTTTATTTTTATTAATTTTTATTTATTTTACCTACGTGACTTTACCGAAAAAACTAAGAGCATCTTTCGGTAAAGTCACGTAGAAGGGAAATAATAAAATTCAAAAAATAATAAAGCAGCCGTCTTCTTCACCTGAGGACGGCTGCTTGCGTTGTGGCCGAAACGTCGTGAAAATTGTATTTTATTACGTGAAATTTTTTATTATTTTATTACTTCCCTTCTACGTGACTTTACCGAAAAAACCAAGAAGATGAACTAACAATCATCATTATATAATAATAGGTTTTTACCCTTTAATCTGGTGTCAGTTTTGGTGCCAGATAAAAGGTTCAAAACCTATTACTATAGCTTGCTACTGGCAAAGGAGGTCTCCTAATGTCAATGCTTACCCCTAGCTCTCAATACCCTGATAGTGCGCTGTTTTTGAGTTTAATGCCTTTTGGCGTCATCTTGGTCCAACATCAGTGGAGACTAGGCTCTAAGAAAAGCCGTCTCGGGTGTGGACCAATCAACTTCAAGGACAGTGCATATCATTATCATTATCAGAGTTGTTTCTTTTTGTTTGCATTTTGACCGCTTGTGTTGTGGTTATTGCAAACATGATCCCTTGTATATAGGTGTCAGTTTTGTTGCCAGATAAAAGGGTCAAAACCTATTACTATATATTGCTACTGGCAAATGAGGTCTCATAATGTAAATCATCATCATAATAATAGCCACAAGTGCCGATGCAATAATGTGAGAAGTCGATTTCATTCCACGTCATTTTACTTTTTAGGGAGCCTTTTCAATTCCCCATTGATCTCTTCCGCCTTTGACATTTGTTTCCTATTTCCACTTTTCATTTCCCTCTTAAACTCGCAAACTCACGACCTCTCAATTTCCATGAAACGTGTCACGTGCCAATTCTTCCTGTTTCCGTGATTGTGACGTCGATCAAATCCACAGGCCCCCCTCGGATATAGAAACGCGCATTGAGATTCATTCGATTAATTTGGCCCTCTTATAAATGTCCAAACGACGGGGTCCACTTCGTTGAGCTGTCCTTTGTGGCCAGGTCGCTTCTAAAGATTCAGTTGATTCATCACTGGGGCTTTGCCTGGTCGGATTGGGATGGTTTAGTGTTGTATTTGCTTGGGAGATTTGTTTAATTCCCGTGTACTTTGAACTCCCATCGCGTGTTTGTACCGCTTGTTGTTGTAACCTTCTTTCCACGTGGGCACATGGGTTCAACTCCTGGTCTGGGTGTCTCTCCATATTTTAAGGGTCTGGGTTCAACTCCTGGTCTGGGTGTCTCTCCGTATATTGAGTGCCTGGGCTCAATCCCAGATTTTGGTATTTCTCTGAAAATTAATGGTTCCAGTTTCAGTTCCTGGTTTGGGTGTCTCAACTGGGATTAAGCATTTGGGTTCAATTCATTGGCTAGTTTTATCCAGAGATTAACCGTCTGTCTTGATTAAATTCCTGGTCTGGGTGTCTCTCCGTATATTGAGTGCCTGGGCTCAATCCCAGATTTTGGTATTTCTCTGAAAATTAATGGTTCCAGTTTCAGTTCCTGGTTTGGGTGTCTCAACTGGGATTAAGCATCTGGGTTCAATTCATTGGCTAGTTTTATCCAGAGATTAACCGTCTCGATTAAATTCCTGGTCTGGGTGTCTCTCCGTATATTGAGTGCCTGGGCTCAATCCCTGATTTTGGTATTTCTCTGAAAATTAATGGTTCCAGTTTCAGTTCCTGGTTTGGGTGTCTCAACTGGGATTCAGCATCTGGGTTCAATTCATTGGCTGGTTTTCTCTCCAAAGATTAACCGCCCATCTGGGTTAAATTTTTGGTCTGGGTTCTCTCTCCATATTTTAAGGGTTCTGGGTCCAATTCCCGGTCTCAGCATTTCTCTGGAGATGAAGCGTCTAGTTTCAGTTCCCTGGTTCGGGTGTCTCCATATTTTAAGGGTCTGTGTTCAATTTGTGGCCGCGGTATTTCTCTGGAATTCAAGGGCCTAGTTTCAGTTCCTGGTTCGGTGTCTCTCCAATGATTAAGGGTCTTGTGTTCAATCCCAGATCTGGGTGTCTGTGTACGAGTGCATGGGTCCCTAGGTCGACTCAGCCTCAAATAAGTACCCGTAGTGGTGTGTAAACATCGCCAAGTGTGGTGCTGGCCACCCACCCCCTCGTGTGCCGTTCCGGCCTTCATAGGTGCTCGCTAACAGCACTTGCCCCAGCAGCCTGTTAAGGCAATACGGGGGATCTTTATCTTTGTTCTCTGCATGCCTGTGTATTTTATCACGTGGTCGACTCAGCCTCAAGTTGAGCACCTGGTGCGCTGTGCCGCTAGGGAGGCAAAGGTGGCCAGGGGTGGAACGTGGCAAGGCCCACCCGTGCCGGTCTTCGCAGGTGCTCCTGGCTAACAGCAGAGGTCGCAACCGGGTACCCGATACCCGTACCCTACCCGATACCCGGCTACCCATACCCGGCCAGGTACGGGTAGCTGTTTGCGACCCTGGTGCGGCCGGGTACGGGTAGGCCGTGAGTCACTGGTGAGTCACTGTTTGTCACTCATTTCGGGTAGGGTACGGGTAGGGAACGGGTACCCGTACCCGGCCGGGTACGGGTACGGGTAGCCGTTTGCGACCCTGGTGCGGCCGGGTACGGGTACGGGTAGGCCGTGAGTCACTGGTGAGTCACCGTTTGTCACTCATTTCGGGTAGGGTACGGGTACGGGTAGGGAACGGCTACCCGTACCCGGCTGGGTACGGGTACGGCTAGCCGTTTGCGACCCTGGTGCGGCCGGGTACGGGTACGGGTAGGCCGCGAGTCACTGGTGAGTCACCGTTTGTCACTCATTTCGGGTAGGGTACGGGTACGGGTAGGGAACAGGCACCCGTATCCGGCCGGGTACAGGTACGGGTAAGGAATCAAAACCCGTTTGCGACCTCTGCTAACAGCACTTGCCCCTAATAGCCTGTTCCTTGGGCTATACGGGTGACGTACTCTTCGGTTTATTCGGTAAAGTCACGTAGGTAAAAATAAAAAAATATATAATAGAAATAATAATAGAAATAAAATAATAAAAATCACGACGTTTCGGAGGCAACACAAGTCTCCGTCATCAGGTGGGACCGTCACAGCCAGATTTACTGTCTCAAGTGAGGAAAGAAATCCAAGAGGCGAGCCCTTAAATGCAAGTTAAGGGAGTGGGGGGGGAGGGGCTTGTCTGAATGTGGTAGCCAGGGGTATATGACCTGATGGTTATATTTTTTTAATTAATTTTCACCTACGTGACTTTACCGAAAAAACCTAAGAGTATGAATCCTTGCAGTCACGAAAGCTTCCAATCTAGAATTATACGGGTGACCTTTAACCCCCCGCCCCCCCCCCCCCGTGTGTCTTTGCCACGTGTCCTTGCACAGGCGTTCGGCTGCAGCACTGAAGTCATGCAGGCAGCGCTGGACAGCGTCAAGAATGCCAAGGTGAGGAAGGTGACCCCTCGCTTCATTGCCATCACTATTAGTTAGGGGGCCACGGTGGCTAGGAGATGTTAACTACCTCGCCCGGTACGCAGGAGGTCGTGGGTTTGATCCCGACCTTGACGCCTGCTATATTTTTGGAGTTTGCGTGTCTCTCTCATCATCATCATCACGGTGGCTAGGATATGTTAACTACCTCGCCTGGTACGCAGGAGGTCGTGGGTTCGATCCCTACCCTGATGCCTGCTGTATTTTTGGAGTTTGTGTGTCTCTCATCATCATCATCACGGTGGCTAGGAGATGTTAATAACCTCGCCTGGTACGCAGGAGGTCGTGGGTTCGATCCCTACCCTGATGCCTGCTGTATTTTTGGAGTTTGTGTGTCTCTCATCATCATCATCACGGTGGCTAGGAGATGTTAATAACCTCGCCTGGTACGCAGGAGGTCGTGGGTTCGATCCCTACCCTGATGCCTGCTGTATTTTTGGAGTTTGTGTGTCTCTCATCATCATCATCACGGTGGCTAGGAGATGTTAACTACCTCGCCCGGTACGCAGGAGGTCGTGGGTTCGATCCCGACCCTTGATGATGCCTGTTATATTTGGAGCTTACGTGCCTCCCATCATCATCATCATCACGGTGGCTAGGAGATAATAACTACCTCGCCTGGTGTACAGGAGGTCGTGGGTTCGATCCCTACCCTGACGCCTGCTATATTTTTGGAGTTTGCGTGTCTCTCTCTCTCATCATCATCACGGTGGCTAGGAGATGTTAACTACCTCGCCTGGTAGACAGGAGGTCGTGGGTTCGATCCCTACCCTGACGCCTGCTATATTTTTGGAGTTTGCGTGTCTCTCTCTCTCATCATCATCACGGTGGCTAGGAGATGTTAACTACCTCGCCTGGTAGACAGGAGGTCGTGGGTTCGATCCCTACCCTGACGCCTGCTATATTTTTGGAGTTTGCGTGTCTCTTTCTCTCCCCTGTGGTTCGCGTGGATTTTTTTCTCCGGGTTCCTCCGGTTTCCCCCCGCCACTGTTATAAACGTGCGTTTAAGAGTCATTTGGCTGCTATGAATGTCCACATTGCGACATTGATGACGATGATGATGAGGAGCCACTTGGGCTGAGCTATCATTTGTGATGGGCCAGGTCGCTTCTGAAAACGAAATAGCTCAGTGGGGCCTTCCACCTGGAAAAATACAATTTTAAAAAGTGGCAATCATAGGAACGATCATCACAGCGAGTTGCCAACGCTGCGACATCGCCACCCAACTTGTCACGATGGGATTGACCTCTGACCCTGGTCCAACACCATGTGAGACTCGGCTCTAAGAAAAGCTGTCTCGGGTGTGGACCAATCAACTTCAAGGACAGTGCATATCATTATCATCATCAGAGTTGTTTCTTTTTGTTTGCATTTGACTGCTTGTGTTGTGGTTATTGTAAACATGATGCCTTGAATAAAGGTGTCAGTGTTTGTACCATTTGAAAGGGTAAAAACCTATTACTATATTTTGCCACTGGTAAAGGAAATGTCTCATAGTGTAAATGCTTACTCCGAGCTCTCAATACTCTGATAGTGCGCTGTGTTTGAGTTGTACGCCTTTTGGCGTCATCTGGTCCAACACCAATGGAGACTAGGCTCTAAGAAAAGCTGTCTCGGGTGTGGACCAATCAACTTCAAGGACAGTGCATATCGTTATCATCATCAGAGTTGTTTCTTTTTGTTTGCATTTGACTGCTTGTGTTGCGGTTATTGCAAACATGATGCCTTGTATAAAAGTTTTTGTACCAGTTTAAAGGGTAAAAACCTGCTACTACACATCAAGTGTTTATTCAAGTTACAGCCGTTTTGCCACTCCTCTGCTGGATTAAGGTCTTGACCTACACCGTGTCGGCCAAGGGTGGGGGTGAGCGTGGGGGGGGGGTGGGTTTGGATGCTTCACCATACTTCACCAGGCCGGTGAGTGCGGGTTGGTTGATGGTGGACAGGACGAATTTCTGCAGAGATGGCTTCATAGCGCGGTGCGCTAACCGCTGCACCACCGCTCCCCGCACATACGCACACTAGAAAGAGATTCCTCAGCTTGTAGCCTGTAACAGACTGTAGGGGCAAGTGCTGTTAGCGAGCACCTATTAAAGGCCGGCGCGGCACACGAGGCGGTGTGTGGCCAACACCACGCCCGGCCGCCTTTGTCTCCCCAGTGGCGACGTTTACTACACACCGCAACAGGTACTAATTTGAGGCTGAGTCGACCTAGGGGAGGCCGACGACAGATTTAGAAGTTCGGAACACACGAGGGAGGGACGTGGGTGCCCAACACCACCAACCACCACCGCCACTACCACCACCACGCCCGACCGTCTTTGTCTCCCCACCCCTCTCCCCTGCCCCCCAATCTCAGGCTCCAGTTTTCCAAGTGCGGCTGCTTCTGGGAGGGGCGACCGGGTTGCAGAACAAGAGCGTGGACGGTGAGGAAGTAGTGTGGTAGCTGTTAGCGCGTTACCGCTACCAACCCGGCGAGCCGAGTTTGATTCGCGCTCACGCCCACCTACACCGGTTTCAAGTTCAAGTTCGTTTATTAGGTGTAGCCCTGTGAGCCATTCGGCTCTTGAATCGGGTGCAACCGCAACAAACAAAAAACAAAAACACGAACAAGAAAACATCTTAAATTGAATATGCGACTGAGTGCAAACAGAAAATCCAAGAAAAGACAGCAAAATATTGCAGAAAAAGCACCGTACACAAAAATGTGCATGGCGGCCATTTTCTGAACACGGGCCTAGGCCTACTTGCCTAGGGTCGGCTTGGGACCTCCAATGAGTACCTTTGGTGTGCGTTGTGTTGTAAACATCGCTACTGGAGAGGCAAAGTTGGCCGGGCGTGGTGGTGCTGGCCACACACACCCTCGTGTGTGCCACTGTGCCGGCCTTCATAGGGTGATGCCACTCGCTACTAACAGCACTTGCCCCAACAGTCTGTTGGGGCTATACAGGGGATCTTTGTCTTTGTGTCTTTGTCTTCGTAGGCGCTACTCGCTATCCCAGCACTTGCCCCAACAGTCTGTTGAGGCTATACGGGGGATCTTTGTCTTTGTGTTTGTCTTGGGAGGTGCTACTCGCTACTAACAGCACTTGCCCCAACAGTCTGTTGAGGCTATACGGGGGATCTTTGTCTTTGTGTCTTTGTCTTCGTAGGCGCTACTCGCTACCCCAGCACTTGCCCCAACAGTCTGTCGAGGCTATACGGGGGATCTTTGTCTTTGTGTCTATGTCTTGGGAAGTGCTACTCGCTACTAACAGCACTTGCCCCAACAGTCTGCTGAGGCTATACGGGAGATCTTTGTCTTTGTGTCTATGTCTTTGGGAGGTGCTACTCGCTACTAACAGCACTTGCCCCAACAGTCTGTTGAGGCTATACGGGGGATCTTTGTCTTTGTGTCTATGTCTTCGTAGGCGCTACTCGCTACTAACAGCACTTGCCCGGACGGTCTGTTGAGGCTATACGGGGATCTTTGTCTTTGTGTCTATGTCTTCGTAGGCGCTACTCGCTACCCCAGCACTTGCCCCAACAGTCTGTTGAGGCTATACGGGGGATCTTTGTCTTTGTGTCTATGTCTAGGGAGGTGCTACTCGCTACTAACAGCACTTGCCCCAACAGTCTGCTGAGGCTATACGGGGGATCTTTGTCTTTGTGTCGATGTCTTGGGAGGTGCTACTCGCTACCCCAGCACTTGCCCCAACAGTCTGTTGAGGCTATAGGGGGATCTTTGTCTTTGTGTCTATGTCTTTGGGAGGTGCTACTCACTACTAACAGCACTTGCACCGACGGTCTGCTGAGGCTATACGGGGGATCTTTGTCTTTGTGTCTATGTCTTTGGGAGGTGCTACTCACTACTAACAGCACTTGCACCGACGGTCTGCTGAGGCTATACGGGGGATCTTTGTCTTTGTGTCTATGTGTCCTCCGTACCACCCTCGCTAACCCCACGAACCCCCTTTTTCCGCGTCATCTTTCCGCTCGCCTGGCCCTCCAGTTAGGGGAAGCTGCCGATTTTTGAAGCGTAAACAGGAACATCGTCAAAAACAACAAAAAACTTTCGTTGTTTGGGAGGTATTTTAAGGCAACTGGGTCGTCGCCGTTTTATCGGACGACTCGTTTTGCCGACGAATCTCGGATCTACGATTTTTTTTATATATTTGATCATTTTCCGGGCCCCCCCCCGGATTTCAAAGTATGGCTTTCTCAATTTGTCCTCCCCCGTCGATGGATCGGTGGGAAAACAAGAGATTCACAGCTCATCGGATTTCTCCCTCCAGTGCAAATAAACATTCTGATCCTGATCTGGACCCTGGTCACTCTTCACCGTCGGGGTTCGTAACACGGCTGTCCCCAAAGTGATCGTCCGTGCGGCGATGCCACCCAGACAATGTATCATATCATGAACCTATAGAGACACACGGAGATACACAGAGACTCATTGAGACACGTGGAGATACATACACCCTCATAGAGACACGTGGAGATACATATACACTCATAGACACATGGAGATAGATACAGACTCATAGAGACACATAGAGACACACAGAGATGCACAGAGGTACACAGAGACTCATTGAGACACGTGGAGATACATACACACTCATAGACACATGGAGATACATACAGACATGGAGATACATACAGACCCATAGAGACACATAGAGACACACAGAGATACACAGAGGTACACAGAGACTCATAGAGACACATGGAGATACATACACACTCATAGAGACACGTGGAGATACGTACAGACTCATTGAGACACGTGGAGATACATATACACTCATAGACACGTCGAGATAGATACATACTGATAGAGACACGTGGAGATACATACCTGACTCGTAGAGACACGTGGAGATACATACACACTCATAGAGACACATCGAGATATATATACACTCGTGCTGGCTCGGGTGTGGCAGTGGAAACACCATCAGGACCGTGAGAGCCTCGAGCTGGCTCGGGTGTGGTGGTGGAAAAAGGGTACCAAGTTGTTTCTCACTGACCCCCCACCCACCCCCCCCCACCCCCTGCCTCCCCCCAACCCCCCACCCCCCTGCCCCCCCCCCACCCCCCACCCGCCCCCCACCCCCTGCCCCCCCCATATCGCCCGCAGGCCCCAGCCGCCCCTACTTGACGCTGTGCCTGGGGGGGCAGGCGGAGGCGAGTGACGCGGGCGGCCTGCAGCGGAGCGCCGTCAGGGAAGGTCCCCAACCCACGTGGAACCAGAACTTCATCGTGTACGCAGCAGCAGCCCCCCCCCCTAGCTACACACTTACCCTGCACCCCCCCCCCTCTCTAGCCACATACTTAGCCTGCACCCCCCCCCCCCTAGCCACACACTTGCCCTGCACCCCCCCCCCACGACACCACCAACCCCCCTCCCCACACTTCTCCTGCCCCCCCCCCGACACCACCAACCCCTTCCCCCCCCCGCCCCCGACACCGGGTATCACGATGACCTCTTGAACTTTCGCTAGGGGTGCCTTGCAGAGGTGGTGAGATGTTAACTACCTCGCCTGGTTTGCAGAAGGTCGTGCGTTTCGTATGTGAGTCTCTTGGTCTCTATGTGAGTGTACAGGTCTCTGTGTGAGTCTTTGGGTTTCTATGTGGGTCTATGGGTCTCTGTGTGAGTCTATGGGTCTCTGTGTGAGTCTATGGGTCTCTGTGTGAGTCTATGGGTCTTTGTGTGAGTCTATGAATCTCTGTGTGAGTCTATGGGTCTCTGTGTGAGGCTATCGTTCTCTGTGTGAGTCTATGGGTCTCTGTGTGAGTCTATGGGTCTCTGTGTGAGTCTATGGGTCTATATGCGAGTGTATGGGTCTCTGTGTGAGTCTATGGGTCTTTGTGTGAGTCTATGGGTCTCTGTGTGAGTCTATGGGTCTCTGTGTGAGTCTATGGGGCTCTATGCGAGTGTATGGGTCTCTGTGTGAGTCTATGGGTCTCTGTGTGAGGCTATCGTTCTCTGTGTGAGTCTATGGGTCTCTGTGTGAGTCTATGGGTCTCTGTGTGAGTCTATGGGTCTATATGCGAGTGTATGGGTCTCTGTGTGAGTCTATGGGTCTCTGTGTGAGTCTATGGGTCTCTGTGTGAGTCTATGTGTCTCTGTGTGAGTCTATGGGTCTCTGTGTGAGTCTATGGGTCTCTGTGTGAGTCTATGTGTCTCTGTGTGAGTCTATGGGTCTCTGTGTGAGTTTATGGGTCTCTGTGTGAGACTATGGGTCTCTGTGTGAGTTTATGTGTCTCTGTGTGAGTCTATGGGTATCTGTGTGAGTCTATGGGTCTCTGTGTGAGTCTATGGGTCTCTGTGTGAGTCTATGGGTCTCTGTGTGAGTCTATGGGTCTCTGTGTGAGTCTATGAGTCTCTGTGTGAGTCTATGTGTCTCTGTGTGAGTCTATGAGTCTCTGTGTGAGTCTATGGGTCTCTGTGTGAGTCTATGGGTCTCTGTGTGAGTCTATGGGTCTCTATGTGAGTCTATGGGTCTCTGTGTGAGTCAATGGGTCTCTGTGTGAGTCTATGGGTATCTATGTGAGTCTATGGGTCTCTATGTCAGAAGATCTTTAGACGCATTTTGCGTTCAATCAGATGCTAGATGAACCTACCTTGTATTGCATTGCACGGTGACCTATTGACCTTGACCTCCCCTCTCTTCCTACTGCCAGTGACCTGGGGAATTCTGACAGCCAGTCGTTGGTGCTGAACGTATGGTGAGTGAGCAGTCTATCGATCCTCTATCACCTGGGTACAGGTAGAATCATCTACTAACATCGATTTTTCTATCACCTTGATAGAGGTGACAGAGACACGCAGATTCATCTACTAACATCGATCTTACATCACCTGGGTAGAGGTGACAGAGACACGCAGATTCATCTACTAACATCGATCTTACATCACCTGGGTAGAGGTGACAGAGACACGCAGATTCATCTACTAACATCGATCTTACATCACCTAGGTAGAGGTGACAGAGACACGTAGATTCATCTACTATCATCGATCTTACATCACGTGGGTAGAGGTGACAGAGACACGCAGATTCATCTACTAACATCGATATTACATCACCTTGGTAGAGATGACAGAGACACGCAGATTAATCTACTAACATCGATCTTACATCACCTGGGTAGAGGTGACAGAGACACGCAGATTCATCTACTAACATCGATCTTACATCACCTAGGTAGAGGTGACAGAGACACGCAGATTCATCTACTATCATCGATCTTACATCACCTAGGTAGAGGTGACAGAGACACGCAGATTCATCTACTAACATCGATTCTCTATCACTGGGTAGAGCTGACAGAGACACGCAGATTCATCTACTAACATCGATTATCTCTCACTGGTTAGAGGTGACAGAGACACGCAGATTCATCTACTAACATCGATCTTACATCACCTGGGTAGAGGTGATAGAGACACGCAGATTCATCTACTAACATCGATTGTTCTATCACTGGGTAGAGGTGACAGAGACACGCAGATTCATCTACTAACATCGATCTTACATCACCTGGGTAGAAGTGACAGAGACACGCAGATTCATCTACTAACATCGATCTTACATCACCTGGGTAGAGGTGACAGAGACACGCAGATTCATCTACTAACATCGATCTTGCATCACCTGGGTAGAGGTGACAGAGACACGCAGATTCATCTACTAACATCGATCTTACATCATCTTGGTAGAGGTGACAGAGACACGCAGATTCATCTACTAACATCGATCTTACATCACCTGGGTAGAGGTGACAGAGACACACAGATTCATCTACTAACATCGATCTTACATCATCTTGGTAGAGGTGACAGAGACACGCAGATTCATCTACTAACATCGATCTTACATCACCTTGGTAGAGATGACAGAGACACGCAGATTCATCTACTAACATCGATCCTCTATCACCTGGGTACAGGTAGATTCATCTACTATCATTGATCCTCTATCACCTGGGCACAGGTAGATTCATCTACTATCATCGATCTTACATCACCTGGGTAGAGGTAGATTCATCTACTATCATCGATTATTCTATCATCTTGGTAGAGGTTGCAGAGACACGCAGATTCATCTACTAACATCGATCCTCTATCACCTGGGCACAAGTAGATTCATCTACTATCATTGATCCTCTATCACCTGGGCACAGGTAGATTCATCTACTATCATCGATTATTCTATCATCTTGGTAGAGGTGACAGAGACACGCAGATTAATCTACTAACATCGATCTTACATCACCTGTTTAGGGGAGGAGAAGCATGTTGAGGTGCAGAGTGGAGGATGAGGGTAATGAGGTGCAGAGTGGAGGTGGTGTCAGGGGGTGACTTCTGTGTGGCCACGTGGCCCCCACTCACGTCACCCTCATGCCCACTGCGTGCCCCCCAGGAACCAGCAAAGTGGAAACTCTCTCGTGCGCATGCTGACCAAGCTGAGCAGCGCAAGGCGCCTTCATCGGTGAGAGGGCATCTGCAGAATATGCACACGCACACACAGTCACACACACTCTCTCGTGCGCATGCTGACCAAGCTGAGCAGCGCAAGGCGTCTTCATCGGTGAGAGATCATCTGCAGAATATGCACACGCACACACAGTCACACACACACAGTCACACACACTCTCTCGTGCGCATGCTGACCAAGCTGAGCAGCGCAAGGCGCCTTCATCGGTGAGAGGGCATCTGCAGAACACTCACACACAGTCACACACACAGTCACACACACACAGTCACACACACAGTCACACACACAGTCACACACACAGTCACACACACTCTCTCTCGTGCGCATGCTGACCAAGCTGAGCAGCGCAAGGCGTCTCCACCGGTGAGAGAGCATCTGCAGAATATGCACACGCACACACAGTCACACACACTCTCTCGTGCGCATGCTGACCAAGCTGAGCAGCGCAAGGCGTCTCCACCGGTGAGAGAGCATCTGCAGAATATGCACACGCACACACAGTCACACACACTCTCTCGTGCGCATGCTGACCAAGCTGAGCAGCGCAAGGCGTCTCCACCGGTGAGAGAGCATCTGCAGAATATGCACACGCACACACAGTCACACACACTCTCTCGTGCGCATGCTGACCAAGCTGAGCAGCGCAAGGCGTCTTCATCGGTGAGAGAGCATCTGCAGAATATGCACACGCACACACAGTCACACACACTCTCTCGTGCGCATGCTGACCAAGCTGAGCAGCGCAAGGCGTCTTCATCGGTGAGAGAGCATCTGCAGAATATGCACACGCACACACAGTCACACACACTCTCTCTCGTGCGCATGCTGACCAAGCTGAGCAGCGCAAGGCGTCTCCACCGGTGAGAGGGCATCTGCAGAATATTCACACGCACACACAGTCACACACACTCTCTCGTGCGCATGCTGACCAAGCTGAGCAGCGCAAGGCGTCTCCACCGGTGAGAGGGCATCTGCAGAATATTCACACGCACACACAGTCACACACACTCTCTCGTGCGCATGCTGACCAAGATTTGCAGCGCAAGGCGTCTTCATCGGTGAGAGAGCATCTGCAGAACACTCACACACAGTCACACACACTCTCTCGTGCGCATGCTGACCAAGCTGAGCAGCGCAAGGCGTCTTCATCGGTGAGAGAGCATCTGCAGAATGCGCACACACACACAGTCACACACACACAGTCACACACACTCTCTCGTGCGCATGCTGACCAAGCTGAGCAGCGCAAGGCGCCTTCATCGGTGAGAGAGCATCTGCAGAACACTCACACACAGTCACACACACACAACTCTCTCGTGCGCATGCTGACCAAGCTGAGCAGCGCAAGGCGTCTTCATCGTGAGAGAGCATCTGCAGAATGCGCACACACACACAGTCACTCACACACAGTCACACACACTCTCTCGTGCGCATGCTGACCAAGCTGAGCAGCGCAAGGCGCCTTCATCGGTGAGAGAGCATCTGCAGAACACTCACACACAGTCACACACACACACTCTCTCGTGCGCATGCTGACCAAGCTGAGCAGCGCAAGGCGTCTCCACCGGTGAGAGGGCATCTGCAGAACACTCACACACAGTCACACACACACACTCTCGTGCGCATTGCTGACCAAGCTGAGCAGCGCAAGGCGTCTTCATCGGTGAGAGAGCATCTGCAGAATATGCACACGCACACACAGTCACACACACTCTCTCGTGCGCATGCTGACCAAGCTGAGCAGCGCAAGGCGTCTCCACCGGTGAGAGAGCATCTGCAGAATATGCACACGCACACACAGTCCACACACACTCTCTCGTGCGCATGCTGACCAAGCTGAGGCAGCGCAAGGCGCCTTCATCGGTGAGAGAGCATCTGCAGAACACTCACACACAGTCACACACACACACTCTCGTGCGCATGCTGACCAAGCTGAGCAGCGCAAGGGCGCCTTCATGCGGTGAGAGAGCATCTGCAGAACACTCACACACAGTCACACACACACTCTCTCGTGCGCATGCTGACCAAGCTGAGCAGCGCAAGGCGTCTTCATCGGTGAGAGAGCATCTGCAGAATATGCACACGCACACACAGTCACACACAAACTCTCTCGTGCGCATGCTGACCAAGCTGAGCAGCGCAAGGGCGTCTCCACCGGTGAAGAGCATCTGCAGAATATGCACACGCACACACAGTCACACACACTCTCTCGTGCGCATGCTGACCAAGCTGAGCAGCGCAAGGCGCCTTCATCGGTGAGAGAGCATCTGCAGAACACTCACACACAGTCACACACACACACACTCTCGTGCGCATGCTGACCAAGCTGAGCAGCGCAAGGCGCCTTCATCGGTGAGAGAGCATTCTGCAGAACACTCCACACAGTCACACACACACTCTCTCGTGCGCATGCTGACCAAGCTGAGCAGCGCAAGGCGCCTTCATCGGTGAGATATCATCTGCAGAACACTCACACACGTCACACACACACTCTCTCGTGCGCATGCTGACCAAGCTGAGCAGCGCAAGGCGTCTCCACCGGTGGAGAGCATCTGCAGAATATGCACACGCACACACAGTCACACACATCTCTCGTGCGCATGCTGACCAAGCTGAGCAGCGCAAGGCGCCTCATCGGTGAGAGAGCATCTGCAGAACACTCACACACAGTCACACACACACACTCCGTGCGCATGCTGACCAAGCTGAGCAGCGCAGCGCCTTCATCGGTGAGAGAGCATCTGCAGAACACTCACACACAGTCACACACACACTCTCTCGTGCGCATGCTGACCAAGCTGAGCAGCGCAAGGCGCCTTCATCGGTGAGAGATCATCTGCAGAACACTCACACACAGTCACACACACACTCTCTCGTGCGCATGCTGACCAAGCTGAGCAGCGCAAGGCGTCTCCACCGGTGAGAGAGCATCTGCAGAATATGCACACGCACACGACATCACAACACACGTCTCTGCCTCGTGCGCAATGCTGAGCCAATCTGAGCAGCGCAAGGCGTCTTCATTGGTGAGAGGGCATCTGCAGAATGTTAGCAAGACGCACAGTCCACACACACGGCATTCAAACACACACACAGTCACACACACCCAGAGTCCACACACACAGTCACACACGACACACAGGCCACACACACAGAGTCCACACCACACAAGTCACACACACACACATTGACACACACACCAGGCAGGTGGACACACACACACAGACACACACACACGTGACACACCACACAGACACGCACACACACAGTCACACACACACAGTCTCATACACACACGTGACCCCCCCCCCACCACGTGCACCCCCCCACCAAGTGTCCCCCACCACCACGTGACCCCCCCCCCACCACGTGCCCCCCCCCACGTGACCCCCTCCACACCACGTGCCCCCCCCCCACCACGTGCCCCCCCACCACGTGCCCCCCCCACCACGTGACCCCCCCCCACCACGTGACCCCCCCACCACGTGACCCCCTCCCCACCACGTGCCCCCCCCCCACCCCCCCCCCACCACGTGCCCCCTCCCCCCACCACGTCCC